ATACTCAAAATTTAACTCAATCTCACTATCTTTAATACTATCCATATAATTAAATAATACTCCTATCTTTAAAAATAGGAATTACTTAATAATAGGAGTAATATTTTTCCTTATTCAATTAAAAATAAAATTTATGTCGAACATTTATACTCCTATTATTAAGTAATTCCAATATTTGATTAGTAATGTTAAAAGTAGTATCCACACTGAGTTTAATTTGTAATGACAAAAGTAATAATTTTTGTTCAAGCCACAAAAAATATTATGAGGCAATATTCAAATTAAAAGTAAGAAATGCTAAAAATTTTGTGTTGCAAGACGAATAAAATTAAAAAAAATATAAAGTAAATATATTAATATATGGAGACTTTTTTTTTTTTTTTCAAATTTGAATTAAAAATATGAACTCTTGTACTTCCTTTTATTTACTGTTTGGTGAGCTAAGAATTTCGTTTGCGTCATTGTTAATTTTCTAGCGAACTTGATGAATTTGACGGTAGGCCCGTGGCCTCACCCGTGAACCAGTACCGGTTCGAACCGAACCGGCACCGGTATCGGCATGAACAGTGGCGGGCTTTTGAACCGGACCGCGGCCAATGCGGTCCGGTTAAGGTTCTCCTATTTTTTTTTTACCTGCCGGGCCGAGACGGTTCCGGGCCGGTTCTGGTTTTTCTGACGGGTCATAGTTGTTTTTTATTTTTTATTTATTTTTTATTTTTTTTGGGTCGGGCCGGTTCGACGAACCGCCGGGTCGGGCCGGTTCAAATGAACCGGCCCATAGGAATTGACGGGCCGGTTACGGGCCCAACAATTGAGGCCCGTCGACCCGCCGGGCCGGGCCGGGCCGGGCCCAGACCCGGTACCTGACCATGTCTAACGGTACCCTAAGATTGAATGATAATTTGTTAATGTGGGACTCCCATTTGAATTCACGGAATTATTTGTTTGTAAATTTTTGGTGGGCAAGGGATAACCGAGCTACCCGACTCGGGTCGATCTCGAAAAAAGGCTATTCGGAGCTTCACTTACTAGTTGATCGGAGATGCTAATCGTTACGGAATCATTCCGTTCGAATTTGTATATGTTGGATCATCTATCACTGACGGTTACATGATGGTCTGACGGTTACAAATTACGACGAAATGAATACGTAACGGGACAATAGTTTTTCTAATATTTATTACTAACTGTGACACATTTTATCAAATATCACCAAAAAAACATCCAATTGGAAATATAATAAAATTTACAACAATCGGATAGATAAAATGATAGATAATTCAGGTCACAAGTGATGAAGTGAAAACCCCAGGCTCTTTTTCTCCCAATCTACCCGTCAACAAACAACGCTTTTTTCTCAGTCCTAATTTTTCTCCTCAGATTCTTGTCAATATCCCCTCGATCTTCTCCGATCGACCATGGTAATGCCTTTCCTTTCTGCCCTTTTTAGCATATCCTTTTCCCTGTTAATTCGTTCGATTTGTTCTATGTTCTGATGAGTCGTCAGATTCGCCATTTTTGGTGGTCTGAGCGATTGAAGTCAAAGATTGAAGCTTTTTCTGAGATGGGTTTTGATTTGGCTTTCGTTTAGTTCGGTTTTATATATATATATATATATATATATATATATATATATATATATATATATATATATATTACTGTCCTTTTCTTAAAATTTGAGATCGGATGTAGCGTTGATTGATTAACTTGATAAATTCTGCTTTTCTGAATGTTTTTGTTCACCGATCTTTGATTTGCCATGAGTACTGCTCTTTCTAGTGTGTTCTCTGTAAAATTTAGGTCATGTTTTGGGGAAGAACAGGTTTGTTTACTTTAGCTGACTAAGTTCCAATATGATTGTGTTATTCAATAATCAGACATGACTCCGGTGTAGCCGGTTCATTGATGAGGACCGATTTAGGTTTTTGCTAAATTTGAGGGTTATTTGTCTTAACTGTTTTGATGAAATTAGTTTTTCTTGCCCAAAAAAATATGATATGGTTGTGATTGACCTACAATCATTGGTGACCAAAGCTTGAATTCTTTAAGTTTCTTCAATTATCAATGTTTTGGGTTTCGGCTAAATTTGATGGTGATTTGTTGTTATGATGAAGATAGTTGTTATTCTTTGTCCATATTTGGTCTACAATAATCGATGACTTGGGGTTGAATCCATTGAGAAATTACAACAATTTTAATTTTGTTGTATTTCTTTTGATTTCTAATAAAACTAGCTTAGACTATTTCCTACATTTGTGCAACCTTATCCTTGTGTCTATATCCCTTACAAGAGCCTTTCATTGCTAAATTAAGATTTTTCTATTCCATTTTATTCTCTTCTATTCTCTTTTATTTTTCAATGCAACCATCTTAGACTTTTATCCGAAAGTTGTGCAACCTTATCGTAGAATCCTTGTATGTTAACACTAAGTAGATAATATATTCATCCTAATACCACCTACAATCTTAGTACCATTTGCATTGTAGTGTTTAAGATCATAGTCATTAAAATAAAGAATCACAGGTGCCTTACAAAGCTACCCTCATAAGAAAATTGGAAAAAAACCGATTTTAATGATTTCATTTACGTGTAGTTGTGATAGTTATATTGTGTTAGGGGCGTGTCGATTGAACCAGCTTTCACTACTGTGTAAAGAATATCCAATTTTTGTGTTTGGCCCGTTGTACAAAGCATTGCATCAACATTTCGATTGGATGAGATAAAATCCTTACACTGGTTCGTATCCTTTTTTTTCTCCGAAATTTTAAAGACCATCTTTCAGAATTGCATCTTGGGTTTAACTTTTGTAATTACCTGGTGCCATTTAGAAGAGATTGTTTTAGTCTAGCTCGTTTTATCAACTTTACCTAGAATTATATAACATTCTTGCAGTTCACACAAAATGTGGTAGCAAGAATTTGACTATATACATATATATATTAGAATTCTACTTTTTTTTTT